AAATTTCTAGATACTTTATTTTGGGAACTTGCTAGAGCCATCATGGATTGCCTCTTTATGTGATTTCATATAGACTGTTGTCTCTGAGCCATCAATAGGTTATTATATTTATTTTTTTTCTGTTTGCTTACTGTGTCCTATCTTCTTGTTTTGTTTTGAAATACCCAAATAGGCTGCTCGTATGAGCTAGTTTGATTATTTGCACCTTTGAACCTCTAATGTCTTGTCACCAGGTGATTAGATCTGTTACTAGGTATGTGAGCTCAGGAATCTGCCCACCCCTCCTGTATGGATTCAGCTCAGGTGCCCAGGTAGATGGCCACCAAGTATGTGGTGTAGGATCTCACTTACAGTCCTTGACAGGTATGGGTTATTGGTATAGGCAGAGGCATCTGCCTGCAGCAGGGGGACACAGTTTGAGCAAGGCAGGGGGCTGACGGCCACCCCCGAGTGTCCAGGAGGAAGGCGTGTCCCTGTTCCCTAGAGCGTGTAGGTGGACTATGCAGCTGGACTATGAACACCTAATGCTGTTGGCTCCAAGGACTAGGGGGCACCTCTTATTCATGGGCCCTTAGCGCAGGTGGCTAGGTGGCTTGGGTGGAGACAGCAGTCCTCAGGTCCCTGATGTCGGTAGGTGAAGACCCTCCTTAATGGGCAGAGCAGTGTCAAATGTCAAGAACCTGCCACTTCACAGCTGAAACAGTTGAAGTTAGAGTTCCAGTATATACCCTTTCGTACTTTGGTAATGAGGGTCTATTCTGTTGAGATGAGCCCACACAAGTCTCTGCAGGGGGAAAGGCATTCAAAGTCTGTGGATCCTTTATGCCTGTGCCTAGGCAAAGGAGGTGTGCCTACTCTGGGTTCCTGACTTAGGGAAGCCGGCAGTTTATTTTCTCCCGTTTGTTAATTTGTTCACTCTCCAAGGCAGGGAAAATGGCTCTGGGTGTGTGACGGATCCTACTTCCAGCCCAGGGGAGTTGGCAATTGCTGAAGCCGGTCCGGAACCCAGTGCAGAGCAGGGAGCGGGGAGGTAAATGCAAGAGAGGTTTTTCCCTAAGGGGGGTGTTTTTGATCCGTGCAGTAAGCTGTACGCAATTAGTTATCTTTCGCCGATGACGGCTGCTTCTCACTGGTTCTGTGTGGCCATGTAGAGTCTCTGGTTCTGGGTCTGTCCCGGTGTGGAAAACATGCCTCCTGAGCACGGCCGCTTGCCTGCCTCACCGCTCACCCAGGAGCTGCTCAGACCTGAAGAGCCCAGGCTCTTGCCGGGTCAGGTCTGAGAACTCCTCAATGCTTCCGAACCGCCTCTCCCTCCCCCTGCCACTCTGTCTGGTTCCTCAACTCTGCCTTTGATGTTCAGGGCTCCCAGATTACCATATATAATTGAATCACTTGTTTTTTCGGGTCTTTGTTGTAGGAGTATCTACCAGAAGTGGCTGACTACTCCACTGTCTTGGCCCCACCTCCTACCTCATTCTTTTAACAACTTGCAAAGAGTTGGCTATAAAGACACCATATTTTATTTGTTGATCTTTGTGAATGAGCTTTTATTTTTCCAATAACTAAATCTTAGAAGAACTTTCAGAACAGACTATAAATAGCCACTCAACTAATCTTAAGAAAATTCCTGTGAAAATTCATGTGGGATGTCAGCAACAATGGCGAAGTAAGGACCTTGAAAAATTCTCTCCTCCATAAAAGCAGTGAGTCAATTGGCAAAATTGTCAGAATCAACTTGTTCAGAAATCTGGAAATAAACTAAAAGCTTGCAGCAGGCAGGGGAGCATTTTTTCAAGAAAAACAGATGAATCTTGGTAAGAGCAGTGAATTTTGTGGCATTTTTAACTGGCGTTAATGCCATGCCCTGCATTCATAGTAGCCTTTAAAACCAACAGCCTGTAATCACAGTGAAAACCAACAGCCTGGCATCCACTGGAGGGGCAAGACAGGGTTGTGCTTCTTGGAGGTGTTCGTTCGTGTTTTTCATCAAATTTGGGTAGTTTTCAGTCATTATTTCTTAGAATATTTTTATATTGCTTTCTCTCTTCTCCTGGTACTTCCATTATGCATATGATGTGCGCCTAATGATGTCACAGATTTCTCTGAGGCAGTGTTCATTTTTCTTCATTCTTGAGTGGAGAAGTCAAAGGGTGTTAGGGTAAAGAGAGCAGCCCTTAGAGTAAATGTCCTGGGTGTGAATCCTGGCCCTAGCACTTATTAGCTGTTGTAATGTCTTTAGGCAAATTACTTAACTTGTGTGCCTCAGTTTCTTCATAAATGTAAATGGGGATAACAGTGCTTACCTCAGGAGGGCTGCAGTGAAAGTGCTGACAATAATAGTGCACGTGCAGTAAACATACTATAGTTTAATTTATTCATCTACTTATTTCATTCCCGTGCCAGCAACATGTTAAAAGAATCTGGGGAGCTTTTGAAAAATACAGATACCCAGGCCCCACTCCCAAAGATTCTGCTTTAATTGGTCAGTGACGTGACCTAGGCTTGGGTCCTTTCTGAAAGCTCCTTAAGTAATTTTTCTGTGCAACCAAAGAGAATTGCTGTTCCTCAAGTGATCTCATTCTCTCCCCCTGCTTCAATTACTGTCCAAATGCTAGCAATCACCAAACCAGTCTCTCTAAACCTAACATCACGGACACTTCATGTACTTTTCCAAAACCCTGCTGAACGTCTTGACATGGATACCCTAAGCCATCTCACACATAGCATAACCAAGTCTCACTCATTTGCCCCTCCCCAGAGAGCCTCAAATCTGCTCATCTTCAAGCAGCCCTCACCTCAGGTACTGACATCAACCATCCCATCTCCCAAACCTGAAACTTATCTTCAGCCCTAATCATATCCAGTTGATTCTACCACAAATCCATCTCCCAAATCACATATCTCTTCTCCAATGCCACTGCCTTAGTTTAATCCTTCTTAATATCTCACACCTGGCTATCACCACAAAATTTTTAATATAAAGTTCATGCATTTAACTGTACAGGGACAGATTTCTTTTTTTAACTTTTTGTTTCTTTATTCTGGTACTGTATTTTTATGCAAATAACGTGCGCCTTCTACATTTGCCAACCGTGCCCCCTCCGCGAGGTATTTTGATAAGCACCGCTACGCCAATTTTTTTTAACATATTGCTGTAAAAAATTAGCATATCACGCTTACAAAAATGCCTCATGGGTGGGAGGAGGGCGAAGTTGGCAAACAAACAATAGAAGGCACCTGTTATTTGCGTAAAAATATGGTAATTGGTGTTCTCTCAATAAAAGAGGCAGGTACTAATCCTGAGAGAGGTAAAGAACCTATTTGAGTGTAACTTTCAGATAACAGTGTGGCAGTTTTCCTCAAGTGAGCAAGTAGGCATCAGTACTTATTATAATTTTTCTCTAGAAGAAATGATGCTCTCTGAAACCTGGCGAACTTTTCTTTTCTTTTTTTACTAATTTATGTATCTAACGTTTTATTGACGTATAATACATAGAAAAGTATAATATACATACAGAAAAGCATACAAATCCTAAGCGTATAGTGTATATGTAGATGGATTTTCACTAATTGAACACAATTATGTAAATAGCACCCAGATCAGGAAATAAAACATCATCAGCCTCCTGGATAACCCTCCTTCACAGTTCTTCTCAGTCACTACCAACACCCATTTTCCTGACTTCTACTGAACAATTTACTATATTTGCCGTATCATATACCTATCAGTTTATTAAGGGGCTCTGGTGGCGCGGTGGTTAAGCCCTCGGCTGCTAACCGAAAGGTTGATGATTGGAACCCACCAGCAGCTCCACAGGAGAAAGATGTGGCAGTCTGCTTCTGTAAAGATTTACAGCCTTGGAAACCCTATGGGCAGTTCTACTCTGTCCTATAGGGTCAGTGTGAGTTGGAATCGACTCACTGACAATGGGTATTTACAAGTAGTCCCCAACTTAACGATGTATTTGAGTTACGATGAGCCGCACTTATGACCATCCGTTTTTTTTTTTTTTTTGGTACATCTTATCATTAGTAATATGTACTACATGCACTGTTGCAGTGTGTAATTTGCTGATGTTATCATTCTCAGATGTTCACTTGCGGATGTTCAAAGATCGGATTTATAAAGATACTGATAATAAAAGGCAATAATAATGAAAACTAAGAGAGAAAAAGGTATTTGGTTTATGTCAAAACTGACTTATGATGGAGTCGTCGATACGGAACCCTGTCATAAGTCGGGAACTGCTTGTAGTTCTTCCAGGAGCCCTGGTGGCGCAGTGGTTAAGTGCTCGGCTGCTAACCGAAAGGTCGGTGGTTCAAACCCACAAACCGCTCTGCTGGAGGAAGATGTAGCAATCTGCTTCCGTAAAGATTACAGCCTTGGAAACCCAGTGGGGCAGTTCTATTCTGTCCTACAGAGTTGCTATGAGTTGGAATTGACTCTACGACAAGGAGGTTTATTTAGTTCTTTACCACCCCCTACTATTATTTGAACTTTTTGAGCATCTGTTACTTTGAAATAATTTTTTAAATGTCACTGAGTATTTAATTTATGATTATTCAACTACCAGCAGGGGATGTGTTGGTTTAAGGTCTGGAAACGAAAGATTGCAATGTCTTAAATAATTTGTGTGTTGTTTTTAATTAATCCACAAGTAGGAGTAATGACTAATCTGTTCTTTTTTCACCCCAGTGACTTTCTAGACTTTGAACATTAGAATCCACCCCATGAAAAAGTCACTCTTTTGTAAGAAGAGTAACAGCCATCCTTTGTCACCTTTATTTTTATCTTTGAAAGAGGAGGAATAATCACTTACTTGGTCCTGAAACATCATGAGTAGGTAGGACGTAAGCCAATTATCTGAATTTTAAACCTCACCGTAAACTGGTAGAAAAGAAAGAGACCAGTGCGTACCCAAGTTCTCGAAGGACTTTTTGGTTAGCTATACTGTGAAATCCTCCAGATTTCATAATATATCTTGTCTCATTTTCCTGTTATGAAATGGGGTTTTCAGCATCATTTTTCTTGTCTCTGTTTTCAGATCACAGAACTGTGTGGTGCAAAGCGTGTTGGTTATTTTGGTCCAACACAGTTTTATGTTGCCCTGAAATTAATTGCGGCAGCACAGTCTGGCCTCCCGGTGCGGATTGAGAGTATTAAATGTGGTGAGTAGCTCACATTTATGCATTTTATTGTCTGTGACATGTTTCTTGTTTATGAGAATAATTTTTAGTGGGTTTCAATTTTAAGTGGGTTTAAGGCCTGCTTTATTAGTTTTTGTGGACTTTCTCCTTGCTTCCCCCAACTCCTGTGTAAAATAAAATAGTTTTTCTCTCTCTGAAAAATTCAGAGAGTGACCTGAGATTAGTTCCTTTTCACTAACTTGCAGCTAAAATAGATTTCGGTCTTTAGCAGGAAGAGATTGGGGCAGGAATTCTAGAGCCTGTGACAAAATAATACATTCCATCTAATTTTTTATTTGAGGCACCTCTAATGGGTTAAGGGAGGGAGTTACTGGGAGACTTTGAGTGGAACTGCCCCGTTTTCTCTTACCTGCTGGTCATACCAGATATGATCATCCTTTAATTCCCCAGCCCCCACAGCACTATTCCTGATATTAAATACTTTGGGGCTACCAAAATTTTGGCAGAATGAATTTGTGTTCTCAAAGTTTGTCAGAAGTTTCACAATTTAATAAAAAGTACATATGTTGAAAAATTTATGAAATAGAAAAAAATCGGTCATGATCCTATCAACATTAACACAACTGTTATAATTTTTATTACTTTCCAGTCTTGCTCATTTTCCATTCATGGTTGAGCTTAGGTATATAAGTAGTGCAGCCTACATTTCTTACTTATCATTAGCAATTTTTCCATGTTGCTACATAGTCTTCATATTTAATATCTGCATAATAGTTCATCAAATGTTTGCATCATAATTTAATTAACCTATGCTCTCAAAGTTTGATTTAACATTTTCTTAATCTCAATATGCCTGCCCCCAACCCACTATATACTTGAACATGTTCCACAACTCCTGATAGCTGAGAAGACTGGGTTTGCTGGCTGTGGAGGACAAGGCCCTTAGCACTAACCAACAGGTGTCTGCAATCATCATGGTTCTATTTATTAAGGACTTGGTGTGTGCCAGGCACTGAGCTAAGAACTTTACATGGATTGTCTCATTTAATCCTCACAATATTCTACTCAGATAGGTACTTGTGTCAGTTTGAATTGCCTAGGATAAGCTGTGATAACAAAACCCAGCAAAATTTTAGTGTCTTAACAAAACAAACATTGCAGTGGGTGGGGTGGGGTGACTCTGTGGCAACCCCCTTCTGTGGGGTGCCTCAGTGGTCTTGGCTACTCTCTCTTGTGGTACCTCCAACTCAACACATGCTTCCACAATTGCCACAATGGGGAAAACGGCCACTGGAGTTTCCCACACTAGCAGTTAAATGCTTTGGCCTAGATGTAACCCATGTTACTACTGCTCACCACGCATTGGCCGGAACCTGTCTCATGGATCTGCTTAACTGCAGGGCAGATTGGGGCAAATGTAATTCTCTCCTTTGTCCGGAAAGAGAGGAGAACTGGTTATGGTGAGCCTTAGAAGTCTCTACTGTGGTGCTCTTATTATCCCTATTTTACAGATGGGGAGTTAGAAGTTTAGGGCAGGGCTTTGAACCAGTTCTTCCCGGTTCAGTCATGGCTGAGGAAGCAAAACTGGAACAGACCCAAATTTTTAAAATTCGGGTGATCCAGAACGATAACTGGAATGGGAAAAATTACAGGTAAAAGTTCTGCTAGAAACCTAATCTCCCTCTAGAAAACAAGGGCAGCGTACGCATTGCACAGCAACCAAAACTCTTGCCCTTAGGATTTTGAGCAGAATTGAAAACAGCAGTGCCCTGCTCAAAGGTGATGGCCAACTATACCACTTTGAATGTGTGTTGCTCTTCACAGTGCTGCCAGTAATCCAGTCTCACGTATCAGGCTCCTAAAAGGGCTCACTATGCCTCTTCCGAATCTCCCATTCCAGAGCTTCCACCCGTAGTTTTTCCCATTCCAGTTATTGTTCTGGATAACCCAAATTGTAAACATTGGGTCTGTTCTGGTTGCGCTTCATCAGCCATGACTGAACCGGTTCAGACTGGTTCGAAGCCCTCCTTTAGGGAGGTTGAGTAACTTGCCTAAGGACCAGGGCTTCTAACTAGTTCTTTCCAGTTTGAACCCCTGCCGAGAATTTGCATTTCTAACAAGTTCCCAGGTGAAGCTAATGATACTGGTTAGGGACCAGTTCTCAGAGCCACTAGTAGAGCAGTGGTTCTCAAAATTTATTATACATAATAATCACCTGGAGATGTTGTTAAACTGGAATGAACAGGTTAGAAGCTCTGCTCTTAACTGCTATGCAAAGCAGCCTCCCCTCAATTACTCTTTGCACTTTATAAAGGTGTTGACTATAATCTGTAGTCACAGAACATTTCTGAATGGGAAAAATCTGATCCGAAATGCATCCCTTGGTATTAATGATTGAGTTCTTTAGAGTAGATTTGTCGATGGAGCATTGTTTCCGCAGCTGGCTTGGTGTTCGTTGCTACAAGACATAGCAGTGATTGAGAAGAAGTCACTTGCCTTGATTAAAGTTATATCACATTGAAACTTGATTTGGATTTGTGCTAGACACTGATTGTTTACATTCCATTGTAAATGGCCCTTAAGCTTTATTGTAGCATCTTCCATCTTTACCTTCTGGAAAAGGTAGAGCTTCTTTGTTGTATGCAAGAATATTTAAACTTCTGATACTTTTATTGCTTATTTTAAGTTAGACTGAATTATTTTCCTCAGTTTTTGTTTAGATCTGCAGCCTGATTTCCGGGGGAGGAAAAAGGATTGTGTAAATTATCACTGTGTAAAGGTTAACACTTTTCACAAGTATAAGTCTAAATTGTGACTTATAACCACTGATGGCTGCCTGCCTCTTACTTCTGAGGGTTTAAGTATGTTGTTGTTGTTGTTAGGTGCCATCAGTTCGGTTCTGACTCATAGCAACCCTCTGTACAACAGAACAAAATACTGCCCTGTCCTGTGCCATCCTCAAAATCGTTATGCTTAAGCCCATTGGTGCAGCCACCATGACAGTCCATCTCATTGAAGGTCTTCCTTTTCTTCGCTGATCCTCTACTTTACCAAGCATGATGTCCTTCTCCAGGGACTGATCTCTCCTGATAACACGTCCAAAGTGTGTGAGACGTAGTCTCGCCATCCTTGCTTCTAAGGAGCATTCTGGTTGTCCTTCTTCCAAGACAGATTTGTTCATTCTTTTGGCAGTCCATGGTATATTCCATATTCTTCTCCAACACCACAGTTCAAAGATGTCAGTTCTTCTTTGGTCTTTATTCATTGTCCAGCTTTCACATGCATAGGAGGCAATTGAAAACACCATGGCTTGGGTCAGGCACACCTTAGTGTTCAAGGTGACATCTTTGCTTTTCAACACTTTAAAGAGGTCTTTGGCAACAGATTTGTCCAATGCAATGTGTCTTTTGATTTCTTGACTGCTGCTTCCGTGGGTGTTGATTGTGGATCCAAGTAAAATGAAATCCTTGGCAACTTCAGTCTTTTCCCCGTTTATCATGATGTTGCTTATTGGTCTAGTTGTGAGGATTTTTGTTTTCTTTATGCTGAGATGTAATCCATACTGAAGGCTGTGGTCTTTGATCTTCATCAGTAAGTGCTTCAAGTCCTCTTCACTTTCAGCAAGCAAGATTATGTCATCTGCATATTGCAGGTTGTTAATAAGTCTTCCTCCAATCCTGATGCCCCGTTCTTGTATATAACCCAACCACAGTCCTGGCAATGGAGCTCCAACCTCACTGCTTGCTCCCCTCCGTCTCTCTGCCCCTCCTAGGCCAGGCCACCGTAACCACTCACCTGGATACCACAGTGGTTTCCGCATTGGTTCCCTGGTCTTTTCTTTACTCCAGTCTATTTTCCCACACAGTAGTAAAAGTGATCTTTTCAAAATATACATCAGGTCATTTTATCCTCCTGCTGAAAACCCTCCAGTGGTTTTCCTGTTGCATGTAGCACAAAATTCCAAGTCCCTCTACTGATCTGTAAAGGCCTGCCTGGTCTGGCCCCTGCCTACTTCTCCATCCTCATCTCAAACGTCCCCTCTTGCTCAGTCTCTGGCCCCTAGCCTTACTGGCCATCTAGCCATTTCTGGACACCCTCTTTCCTGCTGCAGGGCATATGCCCATGCTGTCTGAGGTCTCAGGCTTCTAGGGGTCTGCTCTTCCCCCTCTGCTTCCCATGGATAGCTCCTGCTCATTCTTCAGGGGCCTGAGACTATCCCCATCAGCCTATCTAAAGTAGATCCTGTCAAAATTCAATTTTAAAGAAGTCAGAAACACGAAGTAGTCAAGACAGAAGTACACACCTGCAGGTACGAGGTACTCCTTGGGCAGCTTGTTGGATAATGCTCCTGGCTGGAAGTCCCTTCCCTGCTTGATTCTCTCTCAGCATGTTTCTTTCACAGCACTTCTCAGAGCTTATCATTCTTTCTTTATAGGTTTGACTCATTTGTTGTCTGTTTTCCTCATTAGTCTATAAGCTTACCTATGGGGAAGGGAGAGGGTCTGGCATTTGTGGAGGATTGTAGGCACTTAGTACATACTTGTTGAGTAAATGACTAGGTGAACGTTTATGCGTGGGAAGTGAGTCTTATTCATCTGTCTCTATTTAAGCTAAAGTAAGTGGAATTCAGATTCATCTGGAACTCCTAAGGGTCTTCTATGCATGCAAATGCATATAGTCCTAAAGGAAACCAGTTATATTGAAATAGTCATGAAAAAATTTTCTTAATTTGTTATATTTAGCAATATACATGCTTCTTTATTAATACATGGAATAAAATATCTAACAGTGATCTTAATAACTACCATACTTTCAAAGTAGTGATCGAGTCTAAGTAATACTTCAATATGTCTGCAATAATTGTAATGTAATAGAAAAATATCTGATTTCTGTGAGTGGCAAAGCTTCAGGTACTGCTAATGTTACTGCAGTCATTTGTTGCCTACATCCATAATGGAAAGAAATGCAAAATTTCAGTTACAGTAGTGAAAATAAATATGTAATTTTTTTTCTTGTCTAAA